CCTATTCTGTGAGCATACTGCTCACCACTGAGCATACTGCTCACCACTGAGAGGAGCCTCTTTTAAAGCTGACAGAGCTTCTGCCATTATCCGGGAAGAATGACTGCACTTCCCTTGCTGGGTTCCTGGATGCAGCCCTGCCAGCGGCTGGCCCACCACCAGGCCCGGAGGCAGGCCGAGCTCCCCCTGCCCCCGAGGCAGCCAGAGAGCCTGCCCCCACCAATACTAGCCCCCAGCAGCCCAAGTGCTTTAATGGGGTTCCAAGCCGTCGTACAGCAAAAACATCACACCCAGCAGCAGCCCCTATACCGCCTACTCCCACCACCACTGCGCGGTCCCGTAGCACTCACTGCGCTGGGCTGGGCAGCCCCAGCACAGCCTATGTCCACACCCATACCGTGGTCACAGAGATCTGGGCTGACTGCAGAAAGAGTGACTCCCCCAAGCAGCACCAGGTGTCAGATGTCTCTTGGACCCCAGAAGCAGCTGCCATGAAGGCAGTAGGTCACTCCATGGGGCAGTACATCTCATGGCACAAAGGCTCCCTGAGACAGGAAGGCAGTGGCAGGCTGCCAGTCCTCAGTCTGTGGCATGCAGATCCAGCCAGGACCTGCTCCTGCTGTAGCATCACAGCAGTCAGAGCCCAGGGGCACAGCCCTTTCAGCCCACGATGATGCTGAAGCCGCAGTGGAAGCGGTTCTTCCAGTGGTTGAGGAAGGCGCCCAGGGCCAGGGTGACAGGCAGGGGTGGCAGCTTCTTCTCCAGGACACCCCCCACGCACCAGTTGCTGTCCACGAGACCTGCAAGAGGGATGAGGGACCATAAGTCTGAGAGCCAGCAGGACTATGCCCCCACCCCAACTGCTGCCAGATGCACAGCACACACTGCACACGGGAGCTGCCATGCATCACAAGGAGTGCTGCTTGCTCCCATGTTGCTACATGCCAGCTGTGTGCCCCTGTCCAGCCTCAGACTGCACTCCCAACGTGCCCACAGCAGGCAGGGTGCTTCTGGAGGCCTGGAGCTTCCTCATGTGCAACATGGTAAACATGCCAGGGGAGAGAAGGGGCTAACGGTCTTCTTGAGCAGATGGGACAGGGAACGAGCCGAGAACGCCTTCCAAACCAAAGTGGAGTCATGAACAGAAGACAAGGCATAGCACCGTTGCCAGGCTCTGGGCCTAGACTCCCAGCACCAGGGGTCAGGTCTGGCCCTCAGGCAATGCCACTGCCTATGGCATGGGATGCATTGCTCAAGGAGAGGCAGACTCCTACAGCTCTAAGATGGGAGGAAGGGAGGTGCAGCAAGGCTGGTACCCTCCGGAAGGCTGGTGCTCCAGGGCTCTCACCTCTGAAGATGACATTGGCCTGGGTTAAGTTGAGCTGGTAGCCGAAGGCAAAAGTGGTGTCCTGCAGCCGAGTGTTGGCTTCAAACTCCACCCCAACCTGCACCTGGAGGGGGAAGCAGGGGTGAGACATGAGGGCTGGGGACCCCAGTGCCCCAGGACAGGGGCAGGCATAACTCACCTGCTCATTGGCTTTGTGGTAGTAGCTGGCATGGGCACCGCCACAGCCAATGTTCAGTGTTGCCACCCATTTGGGAGCTGCAACGAGACAGATGGAGGGGACGGGAAGCTGGCAAGGGTGGGAGGGCACAAGGCGAGAAGGGGCAGTGCCAGGGCCCCTTGACCTTTCATACTACAGAGAGCTCATGAAGGAGGTGACATGAGGGACACTGCAGGGAGGCTCTGTAGGCTCCACCTATTGGTGTCCCAAGCCCAACCCACAGCCCTGCTGCCCCAGCCCCTCCACAACCTCTGTCCCTGCAAAGCCTCCTGTTCTTAGGGTGCTTAAGTGGGGCTCCCAGAAGGGCTCTTGCAGGGCATTTGGGGTGCTGGGAGTGCCCATCCCAGCTGCCTGGTGCAGTGCCCGCATACCCGTGTACTTCCCTGCCAGGGTGACAATGGCGCCCTCCTCGCCCGGGCGTCGGTGATACACCATCTCTCCTCCCAGAACCAGACGCGAGGTCACGCTCTGCAGGAAGTGCGCCACCAGGATGACTGCAGGCAGGAAATACTGTCAGCTGCCCTGCTGTGACAGCCGGGCACTGCCCCTCTGGCACCAGTGCACGTTGCCCATGGTACTACCCCAGCATGTAGCTGGGCAAAGCAAGGCACAAGCAGGGAAGGGCCCATGAACCAGTGCAGAACCCAGGAATCCTGGCTCCTAGCTCCTACCCAGCTCCAGACACTGGCCTGTGCTTCTCTCCCCATCTTGCATGGGGTCTTACAAGACAAGCAGCAGAGATCCCACAACTGCTTAGGCCCTAGCATCAGCCCCAGGGCATCCCCCGCCAAGGGATGTGCATCCAGGAGGAGCAATGGTCTCAGGAAGGAGGCAGGTCCCTTCCGCTGCCTGGGGTGACCCCTCCTCTGCCACAGGCTCCCACAGGAGTGCAGAAGCCCAGACCAGCAGGCAGCAAGTGTTTGAAACAGAAATGAGATGGGGCCTGCAGGGGAGGGTGCCAGAGTTGGGCCCTCCTACAGCTGCTGGGGGCTGGGAGCACAACTGGCCAGTGGGGGTGCTGGGCCTCACCTGACTCACTGATCACATCAGGGTTGCCCAGCGTCAGGGTGGCCGTGCAGTCATCCCCGCGGTATTCCCCATCAAACTGCCACGTCATAAACTTGGACCGCTGTGTCTGGAGCCAGAGACAGGGTCGGCAGGGCCCGGTGTCATACCTACCACCCCACCCCCAGCAATGGCAATGGCCCAGCCTCCACCTAGAGAGCACCCTCCTCCTAATCTGTCCCACCACCCAGCACAGCCACCTGGGCCCTGGCTTCAGCCTGGACCACAATTTTGTGACCTGCTGGTGCCATCTAGCGACCAGGAAGGGCATGGGCAGGGTCTGAGAGAGGAAAGCTTGCTCTGCCCTGGGTTGAAAAGGGTGTGGGGAGGGAAAATCCCGCCTGAACCCTGGGGGAAGGGCAGGGCACTCTCCTCTGCCCAGAGGGAAGTTAAGGCACAGCCCCCACCTGCCAGCCCTGCTCAAGAGGAACTAACTTCTGCTCCAGGTCTCCCCTCTGGTGTCTGCCTCCGCCTTCCAACACAGAGGATGAAAAGCCACCGTGGGTGGGTGTGGGGATGAGTAGGGCAGGCCTTGGCAGCACATAAGCTGCAGTAATGCCTGGGGCTTCATCTAGGGCATCAGCACTTCCCGTGCACTAGTGCAGCCGACCCTTCCCCTGGGGCCAGGTCTCACCTGGAAGATGGCCTTGGTCCGGATGCGCTCCGTCAGCAGGTGCAGCACCTGCGCATGGAGGCTTCCACAGTTGTCGATGTCGCCGACGAGTGTGGGGAAGACCTGGGGGCCAGGGCATGGTGCTGGGAGAAGCCAAGAGGGTAGGGGGCCAAGCTCCCCTGGGGAGCAGCTCCAGCTGGACCCAGGACAGGACCAGCATGGCTGCCCACCTCTTCACCCTTAACTTGCTCTCTGCAGGCACCACGAGGAGTGCAGGGGCTACCACAGCCTGGCCAGGGCATCAAACCTGGGAGAGCCCAGCAAGGACAGGCACAGAGCCTCCCCAGCCAGGCCGCCCTGGGGTAGTGAGGTTACAGGGCCCCAGCCCAGCTCCAACTGCTGCAGCCTCTTCCCCTCCCCACTCCCACAGGAGCACTCCCACCTTCCACCCCCTGTACATAAGAACATCTGAACTGCCATTTACTGGGTCAGACCATAGGTCTGTCTTGACCACAATCCTGTCTCACAGCAGCAGACAGCTGATGCTGAAAGGAAGAGAGAACAGGATCTGACCAGGGTTTTCTTCCACTGCTCCTCTTGCAGCCTCCAGGCTTTAAAGTCTGGGAAGTTCTGATTCAGAGGCCGTGCCCCTCACTCCTGTGTTCAATAGCTGTGTTCAATAGCTACTGATGTCCCTTTCCTCCAAGAATTTATCCTGACCTTTTTTGAATTTGGTTAAACACCCAGCTTCCAACACCTCTGGCGGCCATGAGTTCCACACTTTAATCCCATGCTGTGTAATCCCATGCTCCCTATCCCCCATTATACAGAAAGGCAACCAAAATGACCAGGGACCTGGAGCAGCTGTCATACCAGAAGGGACTAAAATGGCTTTTAGCACCCTTTCAACTAATATGAGTAAGACTTTCATTTGGAAAGGAGAAGGCTGAGGGGGGATACAACAGAGAATTATAACATTATGAAGGGTGTGCACCAAGTGACGAGGGAACAGTTGTTCACCAAGTCCTGGAATACTAGAACTAAGGGGCACCTGCTGAAATCTGTAGGTGACAGGTTTAAAAACTAACAAAAGAAAGTCTTTTTTGTTTAGGCAACATTGTCATTAACTCATGGAATTCATTGCCACAGGAGGTGCTGGAGGCAGGGAGCGTGGCCAGGGTCAGAAAGGGACTGATACCTTCACGGATGGTATCTATTCATGGCTATTAAACAGAGTGATTGGAGATGTTTCCTTTGGCATCTCTGAACCTATTACACTGGATGCCAGGAAGGACATTCAATCAGAGATAGATCACTCTAGAGAGATCTGGTTCAATGCTCTCTCTCCATAGCATTGATTTCTGCCACTATTGGAGACGAAGCACTGGGCTAGATGGCCCTGACCCAGTCTGGCACTTATGTTCTTATGTTCCAAGCGTATTTGCACACACTTAGGGCAAATGAACCTGAAAGCACAGCTTGGGCCTGGCACAAACCGACAGGTCAGGACCCACCCCAGCTGCACCAACCCAGCACAGAGTTCCCTCCAGCCCTGGCAGCCAAAGGGAATACCGAGAGGAGGGGCATGCTCCTCCCACCCCTTCCCCTCACCCCAGGAACCCTCAGCACACCCACAGGCAGAGGCCCTGGCCAACAGTGCCAGGCACTAGGGCTGCACGAAGCTTCGGGTGCCGATTCGATTCGGAGAAGATTTGGCTTGATTCGGCGGCTGAGTCTCCGAATCGAATCAGGAGACCAATAAAAAGGTCCAAATCGATTTGAAGTTCTCTGAACCAATCTGGAAAAGATTTGGAGATTCAGGCAGTCTCTGCTTGCCGCCGCAGGAAGCTGGACCCAGACTCCATGCCGGTAAGTGGGGGGCGAGGGAGGCTGGAGAAGGGGGAAGGGGACCATGGGGGACCCCCACCAGGCTCCATCCCTTGCCTGCTCCCTAGCTCCGCTCAACCCCCGCCCGCTCTCCCAGCCTTGTCAGTGGCTGCCTCACCCAGCCCCAGCTGTTAAAAAAAGCCTGGCATTCACCAGCTGCTGGAGCAGCAGTCAGAGCTTTTGGTGGATCATGGCAGAGCCCCCAACACATCACAGGGCAGTGGGGGGCAGCAAAGATCACCCCCCCACCAGCCAGCACCTGCTGAGTGGGGGCTTTATTTTAAAGCACCGGGGGCGGTGGGAGAGC